CGCTAACAGCCCCATGATGGGTCGCGTCGCCGTTGTCGCCTCGGAGTCCATGGCCGCCGAAGCCGGTCACCTTCTGGTGCATGCTGTGATCGTCACGGTGCAGCCGGATGGGTACTCCCCCACCACCCTGGAGCTGGAGGTGTCCTATGCTCTGGCCGTGCAGCTGCAGGTGCCGCGGTACAACTTCCGCGTCACCAGACTCACCTCCGCCTCCTTCCTTGCGGACTTCAAGTTCGCGCCTGAACGGGACAGAGCCATCTACAAGAGGTCCATCAACATCGGCGGCTCACCTCTGTCCATCAGGCCATGGCGCTCTGCTGGAGGCGCCGCTGAGACGTCCTGGTGGTACCACGTCAAGGTGACCATGGAGAATGTGCCGCTGGAGGCGTGGAATGAAGACGGCGTCAAGCTGATCCTAGGCGACAAGTGCATCTTCGACAGGCTCGACAGCCACTCTGCGTCGAGGGAGTCCAGGGACTCCTCACAGTTCCTCACTTGCTGGGTTTGGATGGAGAGCCCGGACCTCCTCCCCAAGGCCATGGAATACTGGTACTTCGCGGCGAAGGCTGGGCAGGCGATGGAGATCTTCGACTTGCCATCCCCTACCCGCATCCCATCTACGCCGCCGGTGGGCAAATTCGGCGACAAGGTCATCCTGATCCATTTGGTGGGGTACGAGGACTGGATGCCGCGGAGTCCTGGAACGTCAAGCTCCGGGACCTCATCGGAGAACGGGAGTTCGGCGCCAACCTTCGTCCCGTTCGACTGGGCTGCGGGGGTTCTGAACGGCCGGCCTGCACAGGCGCGCCCCCCTCGCACTGGCGCGTGCAGGGAGCCAGCAACCCAGCTTTCGCGCCACGACCGCGACCCCGACAGCGACCATGACGGCCGGCACCGCCACCATGATATTCCACGAAGCACAAGGGTGCGGCAGCTATTCCCGGGCTGCGCATCGGACCGCTCGGTGCGCGTGCAGTCCCGCTCGCCGCATCCCTACCGCCGGGCTGCGGGGCCTCCGGAGATGGAGATGATGGAGCGCGGACGCGCTTCTAGTCGTTCACCGCAGAGGACCCTGCGGGCTCGAGACAGCCTCTCCCACGCATCGGAGGACTGGGAGCGCCGCCGTTCGCGGTCACCAGTCCGCCGCGACGCGCGCGGTTTGTGGTCACCAGTCCGTCGCGACGCGCGCGGCAGCTTCCCTGACTTCACGGTGAGCCCCGACCCCTTGGCTGATCACTAGCTCTGGGCATCCCCCCAAGATGCCCACCTTGCAGCCACGACGACCCAATGTGGCTGGAGGCCACATACGCCGCCGCTGGGCTGGGTCTGACCACTGCTACTCCCGCCCCGACAACGCCGGTGCTGCTCCCAGCTCTCCCACCTACGTACTGGTGTCGGGTTTATGGGCCGACAACAAACAGCCCAATCATGCCTCAGCGGCCCAGGAGGAGGTTGTCTTTGGGCCAGGCGTTCAGCTTCAGGGCCCGGAGGAGTCCATGAGCGGGATGTCCCAGACCTCATCGGGCCAAGTGGGAGAGATCTCGGAGCTGGTCACAAGGATGGACATCGACTCGGGCTGCTGACCACGAGCAGGTCTCTGCTGCGGCGGCAGAGGCCAGCCCCCCACGGGCTCTATCGCCCGGAAGGGACGCCTACGACGACGACGCAGCACAGACGGATGGGGGTCAGCCCCCAGCAGACCTCTACTCCGGGCTGCTCCGCGAGCTTCCGGAGCCGATCCTGCAGGCGCCAAAGCTGCCGACACCACCACCACGCGCGCCCAAGAACCGTGGCGCCGGGAAGAGGAGCACCTTGGCTGCCACGCGCTCAAGCCTACGCCAGGCGGCCAGGCCATCACCGATACCTGTGGCCGAGCGGGCTACACGCAAACTGATGCGGGAGCTGGAGTTCATCAACAGCCAGCAGCAGCAGGCACCTGACGCGGCGGTCGCTGAGTATGTGGATCTGTATGCAGGCAACCTTCCAGAGATGCGGCGGTCGTTGAGGCCATTAAGGCGGCGACTCGAATGGGCAACAAGAACCTGGCCAAGGTGCTGGAGGCGATTGTGCAGGAGGCCGATGCGGTGGAGATGGAGACTTAGTTGTCAGCTGTTTGCCTGTTTCGTAGTCATGTTAGTTGGATCATGTTAGGATCAGTGCCAGCGCCGGCCGGTCTTCAACCGGTTGAGTTAGGTTTGATTGTTATCTGTGATGTCTGTACTGGGAAGGTGGGTGCTTTGCTAGATGACAGTCAAGGTGGAACTTTAGGTGGAATGTCATCCTGTGGGCAGGTGTACCATCATGTTGTGTTGTTCTAATAGATTTCACGGTTTGCTGGCCACCTGTGCTCTCTATGCTCTCTGCTTGTTGTCTTTTGGTTTCCAATGGTTGAAAATGATGCAAAGATCATGAACTGGAATGTGCGGGAATTTTTACATATTTACCATCATGGCGATGTGAGTGGTATAAGAAATACCATGTCAGTGACTCATGTGTCAGCGACACAGTGTAAGATGTCATCCGTAATAGTGGTAAATATGTAAATGCGCTGAATGTGCAGTGGCCTAAACAGTGCAGCGAGAAGGGAGGCGGTGAGACTGATGGTGCAGAAAGCAAGGCCACACATTGTGTGTCTGCAGGAAACTAAATTGGACGCCATGGATGGACCTCTGGTAGTGGAGTTTCTGGGTATAACTTTTGCTCCAGTTTTGAGTTCCTGCCTGCTGATGACACAAGGGGGGGGGGCTGTGAGGAAGGGGTTACTGCCTATCGATACAAATCACCTTGAAGCAGTCAAACAAAAGCTTTGTGCTAACAACAGTCTATGGCCCAACAAACAACAATGATAAGCATGCGTTCCTGGCCGAGCTGATTGGGTGCCAGCCGGGCAGCAGGCCATGGCTTTGCCTCGGCGATTTCAACTTAATCTATGAGGCCCAGGACAAAAATAACAACAATATTAATAGAGCACATATGAGGAGATTCAGACAAGCCTTGGACGCAAGTGAACTGATGGAGATTAAGCTCCAAAATAGGAAGTACACATGGAGCAATGGGAAGAGGAACCCGACATTAGTGAAGCTTGACAGAGTCTTTTGCAATCGCTAATGGGACGAAATCCATCCAAACGCTGGTTTACTAGCCCTTAGTAGTTCCCTCTCAGACCACTGCCCTCTATTCCTCTGTAACCAGCAGCAGCCACACAGGAAAGCGACCTTCAAGTATGAAACCTTCTGGACACGAGTGCCTGACTTTCCTCAGGTGGTGCAGAATGCGTGGAATGAACCAACTAGAGGAAACAATTCACTTATGATCCTCCACAACCGACTCCAGAACACAGCACGGGCACTTAAAAAGTGGAGCAAGTCACTATTTAGTGAAGCACGCGTACAAATGCAAATGGCAAATGAAGTGATCCTGTGATTGGATATAGCCCAGGAATCAAGGATGTTATCTAAGACAGAGTCTGAACTACACAGGCAGCTGAAACAGCAACTCTTGGGGAGGCGAAGGCAGAGCTCCCGAATCATACAGATAAAGGAAGGTGACGCCTGCACGAAGTTCTTCCATCAGCGAGCCAAGGGACGTCGTAAACAAAACATGATAGTGTACCTAAGGGATGAAGCTGGCACGCTAGTCTGGAAGCACGACGAGAAGGAGACCATCCTGCACCAGCACTTCCTGGGAGTCTTGACTAACAGGATAAATAGAAGGCACACCTTGGATTGGGATAATCTTGGCTTAAGCAGGGTTGACGACGATGAGCATGATCTCGACCGACCCTTCACATTGGAGGAGCTCAAGCACACGGTTGACGAACTGCCGGCAGAAAAGGCTCCAGGGCCAGACGGTTTCACTGGTCTGTTCTATAAGAGATGCTGGGATATCATCAAAATGGATGTACTGGCTGCGATGAATTGTGTTTATGAGCTTAGGACAGGACCACTGGATAAGATGAATGGGGCAAACATAGTGCTCATCCCAAAATCAAATGTAGCCGAGCACCCGAAAGACTACAGACCGATTAGTTTGATCCACTCCTTCGGCAAGTTTCTCACCAAGACACTGGCCATCCGTCTCGGCCCACATATGGATCAGATGATTTCCAATGCCCAGAGTGCCTTTATTAAACGCCGATGCATACAAGACAACTTCATGTATGTTAGGAACCTAGCCAGAGCATACCACCGGAAGAAAACTCCAGCACTGCTTTTTAAATTGGACATCTCAAAAGCCTTTGATACGGTTTCGTGGGAGTGGTCGTGCGGCGGCGCGCCACGGCACGTTCTCGCGAGGGGTAGCGTCGAGTGGCCCAAGCCGACGGTGATCGCCATTGGAGGCGCGCAGCGACAGGGATGACCGGGACTCGGGTACAGCGAGAGAGATCTAGGCGTCTTTCTTCTTGCTAAATTAAGGAGCCTAATTGGAACGCAAGGATTTGGCAACAATTTTGCATAAATTTCAATCAGAACAAATTCAAAAATCTCGCGGAATCAGAAAATTGCCAATGTTTGTGATGATGCAGCAGCAGTGTTTATTAAGTACGGAGTATTCGTTAAATATGAACTGCAAAACCAAATGTGATCATTAAGCCATGCTCAACTTCAGTTGGTACAAATACTGAACTTGTGCGCAAGCCTTTCAAGATGAATGAACCTGGAACACTAGATTGGTATCCAGGATGATAATGTGGTAATTTGAAATGTTGGTCAAACTCTACCGAGCAAAATGATTTACAAACGAAATCTTGTCTCAGGATTGAGGGAGAAATATGCTAGCAACAGCAAGCAGATGCAGATTAAAGCCACGATCAATTCCACTGACTGAATAGCAGATGCAGATTAAAGCCTTCTCCACAGACTGATGGACCCATTCTTTAAACCAGAATTTACAGCATTTCAATTTTCAAAAGCCATTGATCGATCAAACTAATGATAACTGTAGGGAATGGCTGCTACGTTGATGATCGTACTTCAGAATCACACAAGGCTCAGATCAACTCAAAAAAACTTGTGCGGAACAGAGTCATAGTCATCGTAGTCGAACCTTCCATCGAATCTTCCACGATCCCTTCCCGTCTGCACCAAATCCCGAACTTAGCAAACCACAAGGCAGGGACAAGAGGGGGGAAAAATCTCTATGGAACTCTGAACTGACCTTCATCAAATATGCAGGATCGCATGACATGTTCTCATCAATTGAAGCCAACTTCTTGGACAATGCCGTCAATCTGGGGGCAGATTATAGAATGAATCAGTCCAAATTACATGTGTGCTCTATGTCTAACAATAGCTCAATGGCATCAACATCAACTATATATGTGTCAACTTCTCTGAGAGGCTATGGCGATGTGCATGCATGGTTGCCAAGAATGGAGCCACAATTCTAGAACTAGGATGGTTTCACAAATTTTGAGGTTATAAAATGATTATAGGCGTCAAGAGCGTCAGTAGTTCACACACCTCTGGATAGACGAGTCAATATGCTCCACCATCTCAACACTTTTATATTGTTCAGGATCTTCATGAAAGCTGACCATTCCATCCTTCTGGTTTATGGTTGCATGGATCTCTCCATCTTCGATCTGTAGAAATATGCCATTTTTCAGTGTACTACTTGACTTGGCCACATAATGCAAACAGGCTGTAGAAAGAACACCTACCATGCGAAGTACATGCATTTCAGCATCCCTTGGTGTTTCAAGTTGAACAGACCTAGCAATATCTTCAAGTGAAAGAGTCAAGTAAGTCTGGGTCAGCCTTTGGATGTTCCGTTTGTACATCGAGGAGAGCACTTGCTTCACCAGCCCTAGGTTGTTGTCCTGCCAGAAAAGAGAGCAGCTAATAATCAGGGATGTTAACAAATCCATCATTTTGCCAATTAAATTTTCGAATCATATAAAATCTGACACAAAGGCAACAAGTAGTTTCCAACAAGGCAGTAGCTACCGTTGCAGGTAAACAGAAGATAACAGTAGAGAATGGCAACCAAAGTGGACAGAAAAATACTCACAGATTGAAATGTTGCTGAATTTGCTTGGACAAATGTCTCTAAATCAGTGTAGCGACCGTTGCTATAGCTTGTAGATAGCTCAACATAAAACTGAAAAAGGATAACAAAGAGAGGCTATATAAGATCATGACAGTTATAGATAGACCACGTAAAAAAAGGACGTGCAGGTAATCAAAAGGTTGAGATTCTATCACCAATAAGAGCAAAATCTACCATAGTAAAATTTATCATATATATGTTAAAGCATGGCAATAGTGCCAGTGGTTGAACCTAAGAGAAATGCCAACAATGTTATATCTACAGCTTTCAAAATAGCAGTTCATTTTAAAAAGTGTGTTGCTAAAAACATAAAGGTAACCATCTTCCAATGTTTTGTAAGGCAAAGAAACAGTCACTAACATTTATCGAAACAAAACTAATTTATGAAAAAATACAATAAAAACAAAACAACTAGGCAGAGCAGCTGCCATCAACACTGCATTCAAGTGCTCCAACAACTCAGCGCTATCATAGCATAAGCCATAGTTTATAATTTGGTGCTTTTCAAATTGAAACTCGGTAGAATAAGACCTGGGCGTGATTTTTCATACTCCTTTGAGCTGATACGGATGTATACTTAGGAAATGATGGGACCTGTTACACAAATTAAATCAAAATGTTAGCCAATTTAACTTGAAGCAACAACTTCCCAGGGATGTTCAGAAATAAATTACAAGCTTAAATTAGATATCTATCAGCACAGTGAAATTCAGAATATCAAGTTCACCCCATCCGGAATCTCTATATGTGGTAAAACCCCACCAAGCAAAACAAAGACATAAATTGAGTAGATAGAAACAATTATAGAAGATGAAAATGGTGTGGCACGTTGAATCTATCAAAATAGCAATTTATTAATCACCCATACGCCCCCATACCCTTATCAATTCCGCCTGCTCTTTGCACCAATTTTATTTTTGATGTATGACAGAATGAGACCTATCCCTATCTTGAAAGTTTGAATTGTTCCTTTGGGTTTTGCAATCAGTCTCTAGTTTGGTGTAAACTAATTGACTGAAGTGTCTGTACCTGGATTGATCCTCTAGCTAATATGACCAGTACCTGGATTAATCCTCTAGCCTATCTGACTAGATACGAGACAGGAACAAAAAGGCTCGATGTTTATCAGACACTGCCAAATAGACCTAACTTAATCTAGCAAGTGGTAACAGACACAATATTAAGTTCAAGGAATTCATGGAGAACTGGTTTTTAGATTGCTCAAGTTGTCCAATATAACGAAATCCACCAAGAATTTGGCACTTTAATTAATCATATTTGTATTTGGCCTATATAAACCTATAATAAATGATGTAGACTGCTAAATGAATACTATGCAAGTGGGAATAAAGCTCTCATAACTAAACATTAGGTAAAGTTTCCTGAAAAATTCACTCCTGTAGGACTGCATTAGACAGCAGTAGAGAGTGCAGAGTGGAAGTGTACCTGTCCATTCACAATGAGTGAAACTAGGACATACTTCTTGTAAGCTTCTACAGCAATCGCGTTCAACATTGACATTGGGGCAGTAACAGCCTGAAAATAATACCTCAGTAAACATCAGATGCAATCCAAGTATCTAAAACAGAGACGTGGCATAGGCCAAGGCCTCACATTGTGAAGAAGCTCCAAAGCTTTAGGAAACTTCTTGAGCCCAATGTAAATCATCCCTCTGCAGCAGAAGGCAAACTAGTAAGCAAGAGCCACATGGACACCAAAACCATAAATAAAATGTATCACAGGGCACATTCGATCCAGACCCGTAGTAGCAGTAGAGGAACAGGTCCTTTGGCTGATCGACTTCGAATATGTCATCTTCCAGGATGCTGAGGCCAGCCTTGTACTGCTTCGCCAGCAGGCACAGGAGAAGGTAGTCCGCGTGGACCGGGGTCAGCTGCTCGGGCGAGGACTGGATCTTACGGACCGCCGTCCGCAGCGGGGCAATCCCTCTGATGGGCATGTTGAGCTGCATCACCTGATCCTTGAGCACCCTACACACATTCAGGACTACACAACAACACCACACGACGATGTCAAAATTTGTCAGATTACAACGGCTGCAGAGCCAATCGTGACAGGGTACAGCGCATTGCGATTGGAATCGATCTGAAGATGAAAAGCAGCACGCACATTTGTCGGGCGCCAGGCGTATCTGGTCCGCCGAGCACGCGGTGAGGAAGCCGGCGATGGTGACCAGGAAGTCCCCGCCGCCGAACTCGCTCAGATTGGAACCGGAGGTCGCGCACGCCTCCCTGCAGCAAACAACAAGGGGGAAAGTTAGGAGGAGATTAGAGTTGGGGAGAGAGAAAGGGAGCGGCGATGGGTTCGAAGGTGCGGGGTTAGGGTTGAGGCGAAGGAGGTCGGGGGGAAGGGCGGCACGTACAGGAGGTAGAGGTAGCCGAGGGAGTGGGTCTCGGGGCTGAGGTGCGCGAGGAAGGGGACGAGCGCGGCGGCGTGGGCGCGCAGGGAGTCGCCGTCCGCCTGCTTGAGGAGGCTGTGGAGGTGCGCCACCTCCTCGGGGCTGCCGGAGAGGCCCTGGATGTGCGCCACGAGCGCCTCCAGGGACTCCATCAGTGCCGTCGCCCTCGCCGCTGCCGCTGCCTCCCCCGCCTCCGCCGTCGTGGCCGCCTTTTCTTTTCCGCGGCGGCCGCCGAGAGGTGTTGGGGCTTCGCGTCGTCTCGCTGGGGTGGGTTTGGGATGCGTTTGCGCTTCCGCTTGCGGGCCGCGCCGATTCGCCTGGGTTTGTTTGGGTTGGGGGGAGGGAGGCTTTGCCGTGCTCGTGCAGGTGCTGAGATCTAGGACGTCGATTAACTTGCGGGGCTAATCTGCACCCTTGATAAATTCGTGCCGCTCTGCTTCATTTTTATTTTTTATCAGTAAAAGTACGTTTTCTAAATTTATTCACTTGTGTTTCCACGTGCGCTGGATTTTATATATGTTTAATAAATAAAAATATATATATTAATAAGGGCATGTACAATCAATAGATCAAGATTGTCTAAGTTTTTTTTTGAATCTAACATACAAACAGCTCGTACAATAGTATGTACCTCCTTGATCTGCTATGTGGACGGTGACGGCAAGTTACAGTTGATGATTCGCCATCGATGTTGGCCTTCAACTCCTCTCCTAGCTTCCTACTAAATTCTTCTAAGATAGCATGTTCTTCCATGAAGTCTTCCATGGTGTACACCTCCACTGGGTCAGAGTCGTCGACATCTTCTGGTTGCTGCGACATGAGGACTAGATAGAGGAAATGCCGAAATGACAATTGTGGTACTAGATCAGGTGGCAGCACCGCTCCCCTTCTTATACTGTGCACGTAATTACTTATTATTCACACTATCGGCACCATGTTCACACTGTTTAGCACTATGTTTACACTTATACACTATCAGCATACAATTCGCACTATTAGATGCAGTTCATACTACAAGTTCGCAAAAACACGCTCACAATATCAGAATGCAGTTCACACTATCAGGACAGAGTTCGTCAGACCGCAGTTCACGGAAACAATGCACTCACAGCGCGCATCAACACCATGAAGAACACCTTTTGAAAAGCCATGTGTTAACATTTCGTAGTGTCGACCAGTAAATTTGTAGCCTTGTGTATTGTTTCAGATGGCTGGTTCATGTAACGTGGCCCACGTCCAGTTTGATGGTGTTCGTTCGTGTCCTTGAGCATAGGTGTTTAAATGCTTACAGTAGGGGTCACGAACAGACGAACAGGAGGGGTTATAGGATTAAAGAGTTCGAAGCTTCCATCCACCGAGAGAGAGAGAGCTCAGGTTCTCCTTATATAGTTTCTGACCTAGGGACATAGTGGATGGTATAGCCTGATCGAACATATTATGTTAGACGCTGAATGAGCCGATCTGGCAAAGAAATAATATGGTTGGATGAAGTTATTCATCTTTCTTAACCTTGATTGTTAGGGACTAATTAGGTTATTTTGTTGTTAATGAATAATTGTTATGCCAATATTAATATTTATTAGGCATAACTAGACCATTTTTATTATTAATTAGTGTTAACCAGAATAATATTTATAATGGTTAAACATAATTTGTTATTGCTATTTAATAGTTAGCGTGATAGGATTAATGTTGATTGTCCATTCATTAATATTATCGTTATCTATTATTATCTAAAGCTATTAAGAGATATATTTAGTTAATTTTCTTTTTCCATCCATTCAAGCAAGCAAAAGGAAATTGTTTTATCTCATCCATCTAACTAGACACATTAACACGGGCCGCCACATCCCTAAAACCATGGATCGACCTGTTCCATCCAACCTTGCTGTTAAACCAAACACACTCTTAGCGCTAAAATAAGAGGCATCAAATAGTGGCACTTAAAGCTAGTTCACCTATGACTTGATCTATATTTAGTTTGTTAAGTGCCCAAACTTCAGCATATGAATAGGCGGCTGAAAGCTCTAGCTTGGTTTTGGTGAATTGATAAAACCCTAAGTGCTAACCTAGTTTATCAAGTGATCATGAAATAGGTAGCACATTCCAAGTGGTGAAGCAAATGAAGATCATGACATGATGATGGTGATGCCATGGTGATGATCAAGTGCTTAGACTTGAAAAGAAGAAAGAGAAAAACAAAAGGCTCAAGGCAAAGGTATAAATGGTAGGAACTATTTTGTTTTGGTGATCGAGACACTTAGTGAGTGTGATCACATTTAGGATCGATAGCCGTACTATTAAGAGGGGTGAAACTCGTATCGAAATACGGTTGTCAAAGTGCCACTAGATGCTCTAACTCATTGCATATGCATTTAGGATCTAGTGGAGTACTAACACCCTTAAAAATGTTTGTGAAAATATGCTAACACACATGTGCACAAGGTGGTACACTTAGTGGTTGGCATATTTGAGCAAGGGTAGGAAACTTCACAGGCGAAGTGTCCGCCCGTAGAGTGCGGACAGTCCGACGGTACCACCGGCGCCCTAGACAGAAAAGACGGAGGTCACTGTAAGTGACTGGACGCTGGTCTCTGTTGGACCGGCGCGTCCGGTTAGTGGCAGCAGAGGGCGTGCATTTCGGTCTCATGACCAGACGCTGGGTCGCTCAGCGACCGGATGCTGGAAGGCTGCGTCCGGTCATGCTGACGTGGCAGCACAGAGGAAGACACTGTGTGACTGGACGCTGGCTGTGTCCGGTCAAGCATGATCGGACGCGTCCGATCGGAAAAAATCGTTTCTGGAAGCTTACTAGAAACGACCGGACGCTGGGGGTTCAGCATCCGGTCACTGTTAGTTGCTGCGTCCGATCGTCTTCTTGACCATTGAGATCGGGCGATCGACTTTTGAAGAGAGGGACACGTGGCGAGCATCGCGTGACCAGACGCTGAGGTCCAGCATCCGGTCAATATGACCGGAGCGTCCGGTCACCCCGCGTTGTGCCCAGTGAAAGGGTACAACGGCTCTATTTCGTGGGGACTTCTATTTAAACCCCATGGCCGGCTCAAACTCACTCTTTTGGCCATTTGCATTGATATAACAACCTTGTGAGCTTAGCCAAAGCCCTCCCACTCATCTCCATCATTGATTCATCATCTTTGTGAGATTGGAAGAGAATTCAAGTGCATTGCTTGAGTGTTTGCATCTAGAGGCACTACTCTAGTGGATTGCTCGTGGCTTGTGTGATCATCATCTCGTGTTGGTTATGCGACACCCTATTGAGGGTTTTGTGTGTAATGCCAATGTGACAGAACCGCCCAATTTATACAAGATCAAGTACGGCTGTCCCCGCTTAACACGTTGACACGCGCATACTCTCACTTATATAAACCCGGTAGTCCGCCGAGTGTCACGCAGGACCTCGGTAAATCAACATCACAACCAAGATCGCGTGATTAAGCAAATACACATCACATACGCAGAGTTGCAGCGGAAATAATATTACGAATAGATTCATAAATAATAATACAAGTTTGGATTTCAAAACCGATTAGTGAAAACAACATAACTTTCAAATGATTACATTAATATAAGTTCCAAATACGTTGCTAGCATAAGTGACATCCTCAGACAAAAGCATGTAGATGAGAAGTGAATATAGAGCCACCGAGCCCACCGGTGGTTAGCCACCATCCTCAGCAGGTCAAAACCTTACCTGCAACATGGTGGGATAAACCCTGAGTACTCGAATGTACTCAGCTAGACTTACCCGTCATAACCAGAAATAAAATTGACTCCAAGGAGTATGCAAGGCTTTATAAGTGGAGGTAGCTTGACAACAGTTTGCATAAAAAGCGGTTAACTCAATTATACAATTATAATTACATCATCGAGTTAATTAGAACTATTCATCTCTAGATTAGCAACTATCCCATGCCAAACATGTGGTATATCTTTTAGAGCATACAATAGTAACCATAGCAGTGTATTGAAATTCCAAATTCCTTGAACCATCATATTCCATAAACACAGCTTATTACGATGTTGGAGCTAGCCAAGCTTCTCACTATCCGGGAGAGACGGCGATTCAATCGATTTCAACCGGTGGGAATTTATTCCTAACACAAACCCAGTCTACCAACCACGATAGCCTTAGGTCACCTTTGGTACAACTCAGGTACACATTTCAAGGGTCCGTCATCGCGCCGCACAATCTAGGACACCAGATGCCGGGACGTTCAGCCTAGCCTCGCCTTGGGCTCGGTCGATCGCCTCCGCAAGGAGCGCACAACAAAACGGGTCCGGCCCGAGTTGAGCTACTCGGCTTCATGGTCGGAACGAAAGTTATCCGCCAGCTAAGTGATAGGCATGCGCTCAATCTTGTCGAAGTTCCAACAACGGTACGGTCCTTGATCGGCACAGACGGAATCACATGAGTCATCCTACGCATAGACTCCGCCCGGCCTCGATTTTCTTTTACCCCATGGTTCTATTCCACGATAGCAAATGTAGCCAACCGTGCTCCGGTATCCACCTATATCTCGCAGGTGACAGGATATCACCCGACTTCTACCGGTCTAAGCATGGCTAAGCATATATTCGATCCTGGACCTATACCGGTTAAAGGTGTAATATCTGGACAAGGAATTTATATGCATCAAGTGGTTCCATTCAACTCTTATAACCTAATGCATCAATCATAAGTACTTAAGTAATCATTTGTAAAATACTGGGAGACTTAAAATGCTCCGGGGCTTGCCTGGGATCCGACACAAGTCAGTTCAGTTAGCTTGCACCGACTTGGTGACATCTCCGGTCCTAGCACTTGCTTAGTCCTTCCATCTTCGGGATAGATCCACCAAACACCGTCTTCGGGTTCGGCTCCACATCACATCCTTCACGTGGTTTATCTAGCGTACCTAAATGAGATGCAAGATGCAGGTGTATGAATACATGGAAGTGCAATAGATAATGCAGCGCATGCAGTAAGTAAGACAAGCACAAGGTTACGTTAACATGCACAAGCACTTCACATTGCTTACTTTAAATATCGCACAATTTATAATGCCACGATAGCAAAGAAGATGACAACACCAAGCATGACACAAGTTTCCCAAGATTTCAGGTACTCTAACTCAACCATCATCAAAGG